AATTGTCTTCGCTACCCAACATTCCCAATATATGTGTATGAGACTAATCAAACCCATGAATACTTGACACTTTTATCTAAGCATTTTATTCATATGTATAACTTAATCTTAATCAGTCGATAAAGATAAACGTTTTTGAGACTAACATACTACAGAATTGGATCTAGGAGCACGTCGAAGTTGTCTTCATGCTTTACTATCTAAACAAATTTGGTGGTTGTCGCTTGTGATGTGTTATGCCATAGCAAATTCATATAGTGTTCAATAGTCCATACTTTAATAGTAATTACTCCGATTCAGTAATTAAATATCAACAATTACTTTTCACATCAATCAATTAAAGAATATATTTTTCGAAGGAGAACTCATTACATATCTTGTGCATCAAATATTGTCAACGTAGTTTGGTCCGTTGGCCCGGTCGAGCAAGTAAATGAAAGGTTAATGAACGAATTAGATTAGCCTGATTTAACCCCGTTACATAAATGTAGCTCCGCCTGACTCTACCCTTTTCCTTTTATGGGGAGAACGCTTCGATTCAGAGCTCTCACCGTCCTGTCGTCGGTCAAGATCCTGCCTCTGGCAGATCTCGATTGATGAAACGGCAGAACTATCAGCGCGGTTCGCTTATCCAGCGCCAGCGTGCAGATGTCCTCGTGCATCGATTCCGACGGCGAAATCGCGGTGAAGGCCGAGACCGACCGATAGCCCTTCTGGGTGGATCTGCTGGTACCGATCGAAAATTGAGATCAAACTAAAGAGGTTGAGGAAAGGAGAAGGATTGCGTGGATCTCGTGGGTCTGGGTTTGCTCTAGGAGAGGAGAGAGCACAAGGAAAGCATCGGAGAGAGCGGGGACGATTCATCTTCTCTCTGCTCGCTTTGCCTTTGCTCGTCCTGCAAGCGGCGATGGTGGATTCGTGAACTGGAGCTTTTGGGGGTTTGGATCTGGCGCCGAGTAGAAAGGTAGGATCTTCCTACCAGATCCGCTCGCGGATTCCATGGAGGTGCTCTTCTCCGTCGAGACATACGATTTCACGAGCGCAGTTGGAGAAGAGGGGAAGTGGTGGTGGTGGCGGACTTTGATTACCCGGCAGTTCCTTTTTCCTTCCCCTTCTTGCTCGGGGTAGCCTGCCAGCAATCAGGAGTTTGCTTCCGAGCGCATGAAGTTTGATTCCGACGATGCGAATCCCGACAGCCGGCAGTTACAATTTAGGAGGCTTCAGTTTTGGGGTTTGACGGTTACAATTCCAGAGCAATGGTTCCAACTGCGATCCGTATCAGATACGCTTGTTCTTTCTCTTTCCTCCCTAATTTTAATATTTATTTATTTCCAGAAATTTAATTCTAAAATCTTTTAATTTTATTTTCCGTAACTGCTCATATATATAAACTTTTCACTAACTTTACTGTAAAAAAAAAGTAATAAAAAATATTTTTCTTTTGTCCTTGTTAGCTTTTGATTCGGAGTATCCGACCAAGCCTCCATGGCTTGTTTAAGTTCATTCGATGGAGCTTAGTTGTCCTCCAGTATGGGTGCTTGTGTGTTTGTTTGTTTTTGCAGGGGCACGTAGTTTTCCCTTGATCATACAAGCATCCATCAATTATGATTCAATCTCGTGATGTGGCGCATGCAACAGGTGGAGCGATCTTGGAAGAGATTTGTTTGTCGTCTGAGTCTTTTAATTTCTTTTTTTTGTACTTTTACACAGAGGTTGTACAACAGGGCTGCCCACTTAGTGGCTTCTAATGCCCTTTCATCGACAGCTGGATATTGTGTCGACTGTCGCGTCTGGTTTTCTAGCGTCCTGTAATATCTATTTCATTCCCGATCTATGGCAAACAAAACAAAAAAAACCCGTTACATAAAAAGAGCTATGAAAAAACCCTAATATGTGTTACCGTTTTAGACAATCATTTGAACCCTAAAAAAACTAGTTAAGTTAAAAGTACTCCTTAAATAATGCTTCAACCAGATTGAGCCATTACCGATATGGATCATTCACAAAAGCACTCATATATGTTGAAAGCACCCACATAACTGATAATTCACATAACTATTCAAAATTTAGTCATAGATCCTCAATTAGAAAGTTTCAAAGAATCAAAGAAACTAGGGTAAATACAATATATTAGTCACAACTATTATGATGTGGGGAATTATAGCCACAATTATTGAAATTCAAATTACTAGTCAAACGTTAACTATCTGTTAACAATTTCGTTAGTAATACTAACTAAACTTTTATGTATTAAAGTTATAAATTAAAAGCAGTCCGATGTGGCTGCTGCCGTGGCCGATGACGTGGTTTTTCCGTTAAAAATTCAATAACAGTAACCCGCAGTTAGCCATATGACCCGCAACAATAATTATTGCTAATAATTTGATTTTCATAGTTGTGGCTATAATTTCCCATTTTATAATAGTTGTGGCTAATATATTGTATTTACCCAAGAAACTATATGCATCAATTAACTGAAATGGAAGGCCATTAAATGAATTGGGGCAACTAAATTAAGGTGCTTTTCAAGTTATAGCAACGTGTGGGACTATTAACCACTATATGAAATTGAAGACAAATTATCTTTTGTCGAGAAAGTACTACATCAATACGTTACATTTTATTACTAAGTCGGAGCAAATGCTATTAAAGTATAGACTATTGACCACTTTATAAATTTGCTATAGAAGGATCTTATTAATTCGATAGTTAGATGCATAGCATAACACATCACAAGCGACAACCACAAATTTTGTTTAGATAGTTTGTCTTGAAATTATGCATCTGACTATCGAATTAATAAGATCTATTTATAGAAAATTCATATACAATTGTGGTCAATAGTCCCATACTTCAATAGTACTTACTCCGATATAATGGTTAATAATATTTATAGAAAGGTGTCGATGTAGAAGAATATACTGATAAGGTAACTAAAATTGTTTACACATTGGGCTGATGTTAAAATATTTTAACTTGTGATCTTTTTTTTTATACATTTTTTAACTTGTGATATTTTCCAGCTTTTATTACTTAAGCCCATGTATGCGGCCCAATTCTAGTTTATAGGAAAGAAAGTGACGGAGCTTCAAGCTTCATCGTTTCATTCGTGTGCGCTAAGCCCAATATTGGTTTCTGGCCCATCGGACTTCTTCATAGCAGATTCACACGTCATCTTCTTCCTCTACCTCCTCCCCTCTGGTCACGGTTGTTCTGCAACCTAGTGAAATAATGAAGTTAGAGAATAGGAGCTTCTTTACCAATAAAGAAAAGAAAAAAAAACGCTTCGCCTAAGGAATTATGCTACGGAGCCACAAGCCAATAAATAATCAAAATTTAAGGTTAAGGATCCTTTATCTCTTATTTTCACCAGTTGATGGATAGTAGAGATGCAGCAAGAAGAAGATGAAGGGGGCAAGAAGAGATGAAATACAAAATTAAGAATTAAATTCATTTAATCGATTACTACCGTCACCATTACCTGACGGAGGTCGGAGGCATCATTATTAGCATTAGGGTTGGGACCGTAGGGCCATGTGGGCCATCGACGACGGAGCTTAACGGTAGTGCCAGGCTTGATTTGCAGGAGTGGGAGGCCATGGCGGTCGAACGTTGGGACGAGGACGAAGCTAGATCTACGAGCTGCAGTTAGTGATGGTGAACAACAGAACGAGGTGAGCAAGCAACAAGGCTTTGTGTGTTGATGGTGAAATGGGGGTTTGGGTTTGTAGGACGATGACGACGGCGTATAAACATTAGGGCTTTAGTTTTATTTAATCAATGGGATGCTTAAAAGTATGATTAAAAGAAATAAGGTATGATAACATCATTTATGATGATAAAAATAGTTGGGTGTTTATGATGCACATATAATTACTAAAGGGCTGCAATTTGTAATTATAACTATTAATAATTAAATACCTTTATTATAATAAATCATGACCGTTAGATTAGATCAATGGTGTTAAAACCTAGAACATACTATGCGTCTGAAGCATACGAGTCGTATCCATATATATATATATATATGGTGGCTTCTATGGTACCCCGGGTGAAATCCGAGGTGCCGCATACCTCGAGTATGGAAACTCTATCTAGACCTCGAATTACCAGAATTTTTGTGTCTGATATTATACCCTAACCCTTAATGAGTGAACCCTAGGTCATAATTATCTAAATCATAATCTATAAACCCTAAGATGGTGCATTCCTTTTTGTGCCTATATTTGGATGAATCATAACCGTCGATTATTATTTCTAATTAAATTGATCTTGGAGTATAAGATTGGGAGAGTTAACACCTAGATTTTGATCTTTAAGTGTTAGAGTATAGTATCATGTCCGAAAGATCGGTCAATTCAAGGTCTAGATAGTGTTTTCATACTTAAGGTATGCGGTACCCCGGATTTCACATAGGGTACCATAGAACTCGCCATATATATATATATATATTATATTATATAATAATATTATATAATATAATATATATATATATAATATTATATAATATAATATATATATAATATTATATAATATTATATATATATTATATTATATAATATTATATATATATTATATTATATATATATTATATTATATAATATAATATATATATTATATTATATATATAAATAATACGTATACTTATCCGATCGATCGATAATTCGATTTTCGTCGAAATACTATCAAAACGCTCGATTTTAAATCGCGAACTTTCTGGCGATCGAAATATGGATTTTTCCGGAACGGGATGTTACAGCTAGAGAAATTAAAGAGAGAAAGGAAGCAAGAGCAAAGCCACAAGTCATGAATAAACTGTTGTGGGTATCATGAAAAATATTTAAAATAGCTCTCTATTGATTGCTCCAATTCATCTCTAAAGTAAAAGAACTATACTGGATATATCCTAAATAACTAAGAAAAAACTGCTCTAGATTACAGGTTATGGACGAATTCCCAATCGCCTGATGTTTCTTCTACAAGAACTACAGATCAAACCATTACCATTGAAGCTCATCTTTCGTGTTTGTTTTGAAGCTTGGTTCGATCCATGTACAATTTAAATATTCTTTGGTGTTGCACCAATCATCATTGTTGTATCCGCTCCAAAAAGTATGAAACCTTTTTGTTGCCAGAGAATAGAACACACCATCCTTCTCCTTGAACCTGTCCAAAAACACCTTGTTTCCCAAGCTCGTAATCCTATCTCTGCTATTTGTTGCTGATAATGCAGAAGTAGTGCTCACAAACAGCATCTTATCTTCGAGGTCATCCAGTTTTTTCCAAGCAATGGTTTCTTGATTGAGTGCATATACTTGCAGAAATTTCCCCATGTGGCCTGTCAACACTGACAAAAGCTTCCCATTCTTTTTCTTTTATATATGAAAGGTGGGTACGCTTTTTCAACCCAAAGACCTTAAACACTGTTTCATTTTTTGGCGTCTAGCGTCCAAGTAGTGAAAAACTCCCCCAACGCAATCTCTTCACCCGCAGCCGTACGCAGATCCCCTCGGCCTTACCTCAATTCAGCAACCGCAGATCGTCGCAATCTCTTCACCCGCAGCCGTACGTAGATCCCCTTGGCCTTACCCTCAATTCAGCAACCGCAGATGGCCGCACATACTCCATGGAAAGCGGTACTGTAGCCGTGCCTTACCTAGGCTCAGTTTCCATCGAAACCTCTCGCCGTTCACCCCGGCCTGGTCCTCAATCCAGCAAGCGCCGTACCGTTCCTCGCTCAGTTTCACAGCAACCGCAAGTCACCACCCATACTCCACAGTCGGCAGTATGTGTCTGTACCGTACCTATGCTCAGTTTCACAGAGAACACGCATTCCCCTGTCATGTCTATCTCTTCCCCGTTCTATTCTACTGTCCCCAATTTTCCCACTCCCTTGACCCCTTCTCGCATGCTCGCTCACGCAACCGCCCATACTTTCAGCACCGTGTGGTTTGCTTCATTCTCTGCAGAGAAGATTGCTCTCTTCTCGCTCAAATCCTCATCTTCTGTTCCAACTCTCATTATATTCTTTTGCTTCCCCTTTCTCCCCGTCACCGTCACAGCCGTTCGTCGACAAAGGAAGTACTGCACACTCTGGTAGTGATTTGCATTGCCCTTTTGATGCTTAGAAGTGTGTTGTTGGATTTGTCGATTTCTAGATGTGAAGTGCTGAAATCCAAGATTAATTTAGGCCTAGAACATCGGAGTTTTGTCTAGGAAAAAGTTCATCTTGATGTTACTAGCCCCGTAGGAGAGGAGAGGTGAAAAAGAAGAATGGAGAAGAGCTTCTTTTTAAAGTTCATCTTGTTGTTATCACTATAGGAGAGGAGAGGAGAGGTTAAGAAAGTGCTCTCATGCTAATTCATCCGAATATTTTATTCCAACAATAACTTGCACCAATTTGCTTGCCCCATGTGCTCTGGATGGCAAGTAGTAGTTTTTATTATTTTTTCAGACTAACGAAGAAAAGTTTGGTTCTCTGATGCAGAAAACGGAAGCAAGAGAAGGAATGAATTTGCACCTCTCAACTTCTGGCATTCTAGGAGTTCCAGCAAGATCTAATTTTAGTAGATACGAGGCTAGAGTTAGATTGAATGACTGCAGTTTAGCTGTCCCATTTCATACTTGCCTGAAAGGCTGACATTTTGCAGGTTCTGAACTAGGAAAGAAGATGATAAAAGCAGCAAGGTCGAGGAAGATAAGAGCACTGCAGGTGGCAATTCCGCTACTTCCTTCCAATTGTGTTTTGAGTTTGTTAATTCTAAACTCTTAACACTGCATTTGACAGGTTTGGAGCAAGCTAAGAAGAAGCAAAGAGGGCCAATAAGGGAGGGTCAAAGCATTATTTGGCATTTCTGTGAGCTGTGGTGAGTTCAATCAATTGCTTATACTTTGTTGAAATGCATTAATATTCTGAATTATGGGTTCATTTGGAGACTGCACGAAGCTTTGGTGAGACTTGAGAACATGCCACATAATTTAAACCTCTTACACAGTTTGCCTTTTTACCACTTTGGGTGATTTGATGCTAGATTCTTTCTTCTTTTCATACTGAACTGATTATGTTGTCTTTGTTCCACGGTAGCCGAATCTAATTTTGCAGTTCAGCATATGGTGGAACAATGCCATCGTAGAAGAGGTGCCATTCAGTTTCTTCCTTTTCATTTTTAGCAATTGGTATGATGAATTTCACTACTCAAACCTGAATTCCAACCTTATTATGTAGCTTTTTGGTGTTGGTGCATCTCATGAATCTCACGAACTCTGCTAGGTTTTCTGGAAGCTAGATAGAGTGCATGTCCTAGCTTCCTATCTTCCTCTGCTGCAGGCTCTTCTATGTATATTTTTGCTACTTTTGTCAATGGAATCATTCCTCTACTGAACAACACATTGCTAACCTTATGCAAGTGCTTTGAAAGAGCAACTTAATATTACTTAGTGAGTTGTGGAGCAAATTTTTGTTGTTCAAATTGTCATGGCGGGTCTCTCTCTCTTTCCATGATCATTCCATCAATTTTGAGTTTGTCATTTTGGTCATTTGTTTTCATTGTTTGCTTGATGCAAATTTACCTAATTGTTTGCTTGATAATGCTGCTTGCTGTTTGAATTCTATGATTGTAGAGAAAATTGTCTTTTCTTCCTTTGTACTATCACTTCACTGTCAGTTACTTTTGGGGATAGGATGTAAGTGATGTAACCTTGAAACTTAACAAACCTGCTCAATTTGCATATTCTCTGCGTATATTACCAGGTATCCATTATGCAAGTCCAAGGGAACAACATAACTCATGAGCCCTTTCATGGTGAGCAATCACGCCAGCCAGTCCCAACATATCCTCGGCTTTAAAATGAGAGCCAACTCCAAATGCAGCCAAAAACAAGAAGAAAGCTATGATATTCATTGAACAATGAACCTCCAGTCTTAAATTCCCTCTCCAAGCAACAACCAGTTTAATTGCTGCTGCATTCAACTCAGGACTCACATTTGGAGGGACTCCCATTAACCGCCCCAGCATAACAACTCAATTCCTGACCACAGTTTGGCCATACGTCTTACCACCAATCTGATAAGTGGGAAGTTTGGTGTTTTAACTGGTCAAAGGTCATCTTTGCTGGGACTGATGCCCGAAGTGCAGTAGAGGCTGGATTTGGAGGATTGCTTTCGCAGGACTTTACCCTAAAGTAAACACCAGCAATGTGTGTCAGACCACTTGAGGAACACTTGAATAGAAGGGAAACCATAAGAACGAAGACTGATGATCATCTAATATAAGAAGGCCAATGAAACATCTAACGGGTGGAGCTTACCATATATGTTATCCACGGACCACGGTTCCAACTTGCTTTTGGCTTCTCTGCTCTTCTAACAAGCTGACCTTTGTTTCAGAAACTATGTTTGTTTTGTTATTCCTGGCAAAATTGGGCTTGCTCAGCCGAGATGTAATGGATCACCGAACAAACTCGAGAATAATAGCAGGTGTAGGTGCAACTAAAATTCTCAGCAGGCTTAGAATAGAATGATCGAACTTTGCAGTTGATGTGATCCACTTAAATCATAATTTACAGTATGAAAGGTGGGTACGCTTTTTCAACCCAAAGACCTTAAACACTGTTTCATTTTTTGGCGTCTAGCGTCCAAGTAGTGGAAAAACTCCTCCAACGCAATCTCTTCACCCGTAGCCGTACGCAAACCTTTCAATTGCGATTATCATCCCTAATCATAAAGAGCTTGTGTTTGTACGGGGTTATCAAGTAATTCTGCTTTCTACCCAAATGTGGCTCCACATGGATGTGAGAACACTGCTTCTCGATCTCAACCAAGTAAATAAGGAGAAGAACCCATGGAGAATTATTGCTAAATGGTTTTATGAACGATACGTCGTGTTTGTAGTTACCGTTCACAGTCTCCACCTCATACTAATAGGAACATGGAACTGAACATACATAACTCTCCAGCCCATTGCCTCAGAGAAAGATACAACCACACCCATTCTATCATCACCGCCAATCCATTTATCACGGCACTACAACTTAAGTCCTTGCGGCGTAGCCGCGGGTATTGATTCTAGTTGCACTCTAACAGATAGCTTCTTCTTATTGAAGTACAAGATCTAGCAGGAAACTCTATGATCTTGTTGGCTCTTTGTTCAAAGTTATGAATGCACAGATCTGCATTCTTTCCCATAAAATATAGTAATCCTTTGTGGTAAATTGGATTACTGAAAGGGCTCTTGAAATCAATACCGTCGCTCATTACTCCATATCGACTCCACTCATGCTCCCCTCGGTAAATAAAGAATATCACCACTTGCTGCTGCCAAACTGTGTAGCAAATAACCATAGAGTCAGCGGATGTTGGAGGGGACGAGAATGTAATCCCTTCAAAGTCACATGGCATGCTAGGAATGTTGATCCTTTCTTTGGTAAAAGGATTGAAGAAGAACAGTTGATCACCATGACGTCCTTGTGACATTAGCAACCACCCGTGTTTGGAGCAGCGAATGACTGCGCCTCTCAGACTCAAACCATCTAAAGACAAGATACTGGTAACACCTGTTATTGGGTGGAATACATTGACTACCTCCCCATCTAATCCTCTATGTATGAGGATTGGAAATGAGTGATCCCTTCCAAATTGATAATTTGATGATGTAGAGACAGCGTTAGAGAATATTGAATTCCATGTTTTGCAAGCAAGACGAAAAAAGCAGCGATCGGCTACAAATAAACGAGATAGTATATCAGAAAGAAGATCACTTGGAATGTCAGACCACCAATGTCGCCCATCATCAATACTGCTATAGTTGCTGTCTGCCAACAAAATCTGCTCACTACCAATCTCATCAGGCAAGATTTCGTATTCATGGTCTCCCCTATCATCTCTAAAGGCTGCTACTATTTCCCGTTGAGGACCAATGGTTGAAGATGAGCAACCTAGGGTCATGATCCAAACTGGTTGAGTATAATCATGTCTGTTAGCATTAGGACACGGTAACGAGACACTAATACTTCGCTCTCCAACATCATACATCATACGCATAAAGATACCCGTCTCTTGTGGGCTGAAGTACACCGTGTTCCCACGAACAAATCCTTCCACATCCAAATCTGGTCTTCTTGGAATTTTATAGAAGACTGTAGTATCGTTATGGGAGCCTAAGAAGATTGCAGTGTCCTCGGGCAAAGTCTCCACGTGTTCCCGCCTTTGTTTATGGAAGTTGACCTTATACAGCTCAATTTTCTTGACACCAATCTTCAAGCCCTCGACACGATCCTCAAAGCTTTAAGTCAGTGTCTCTGTTGTCACCGTAGTGTAGCTCAACTCTCATTAGTTCAGTAGGTGAAGCCTGAACCAGGAAGCAAAATCTCAACATAGTGCTCCTAATAAAGTGCGCCCAAGGCATGTCCGGTCTCCTTAACTTCAGATCAAGTAACTTGATTGAAACATCATTAATACTATGTTTGTCAATCATCAACTGAACCCTGAAGAGGCTGAGACAGCACATTGAAACAACATATAACTCGCCATTGAAGCTGACGATGTGGTGGAAACGGAAGAGATGGGCATTCTCGTCGTCCCGGCATTGACCTTGTTGCGGCTCCACTAGTTGTGTGGTCCAATCTTTATCCCCCGGCTGACAGAAGTGGAAAACACTCTGCTTCTTTTGGTCACAATATTCGATACACATCAGCAGACAATTATTAACACTACCACGAGTAGGAGGAGAAGCAAGTGCACAGTTGTAGATGGACTTAGCAGTGGATGGGAAGTTGGGTAAGTGAACCTCCTCCATGGTCGCAGGGTTAAACAATGAACAATATCTTAGTCTTCGATCGGTGCCAAAAAGCGCTAACCAGCGTTGGGAATGTGCCCAGATACGTCGATTTCGCAGCTGAGGAATATTTCGGACGTGGCAACGTCGTTCCAACAAGCTGTAAAAAGTTTGTGACTTCCGCTGCTTCCCGTGGGAGTATACCGGCCATGGCTCTGGTCGTAGAGCCGGCCGCTCCTGCCGATTATTCTTTTGATGGCGATGCATAACCTGCTGTTGCTGTTGCTGCTGAGGAGTACCAAAGCTTATTTAAGCTAAATAATCCGTGGGTACCTGGGTACTTTGAGTTCAGAAAGGATTTGGCTACCATTTCCGGCTTGTATAAGGAAAAGAAAAAAAGAAGAAGCGTGGCGTGTATGTGCAGATCGCGACTTCTGGGGAGGGTTTGGCAGCTGGCAGATTTGGCTGGAGGAGAACCGGAGCCGGGCTGCGCTGTGTATGTGCGGACAGTGACTTCCGGGGAGGTTTCAGTGGCTGGGAAATTTGGATGGAGGAGAATCATGAGTAATAATAGCCTAATACAAATATAAATACGAAAATGATATGAAGTTATTCTTCGACTCGGAGTGTCTTTTGTACATCATACTCGGTGTATATTTAACCACTTAATAACTAGGTTAAATACACTTGTATATCCAAAACTTTCATGGTTGTGTCAATAATATCCAAATTTCCCGAAATACCACTTATATCCAATTCCTTTACATTACACCACCCGTTATTGCATATAGTTCGTATTCATCCTTATATACCATACATAATTTTCAATCATATCTTTACACTTCCATCAACACCATCATAGGATGCATTATAGACACATGGCCCTATACATGTCAACATCTCGTGCTCATATCATAATTAAATCAACATATAAGTACTAATTATAAAACAGTTTCCTAGTCAATCATTGTACCACTTGTCATAAGAGATCACTACAAAATATATCTCATATCACTTGAAACGGCATATAAAACACATCAATCTTCACATATGTCATGTGAGGGTTCACATTGTATAAATCAAATATGGCAAATACTAATATTGCAATTCAAGTATCCACGTTGCATCCAAACCAACCATGTATCAACATCCAATCACACACATGCATAAAGTTAGCTTTATTTCCGTAGCTTTCATTCTTTAATTTTCCAAGCCATACACTCCCCGAGATCTCATGAACTCGTAATCTCGTAGGCACAGAGTTCCATATCTTATGAACTCTTAAACTCGCGAGGAAGAAAGTGCCATATATCATAATTTCGTAGCCAGGCCTGCAATTGCTCCTTAAAAGGAGTGCTTGTATAACACTTTTATCATTTAGTCTTGAAACCTCTTTTCACTTATAATGAGTGCATGACAGGGAGCCATTTCGTTTGCTTTAGGTGACCATACATAATCTCATAGTTAGTGACAACTCAATATATCACTTGTGTGCCGCAAGGGCCATTTCATATCCTATTCACTTATATGGCACACATGTCATTTTATCTTGGAATTCATAACATGCAATCTTTCTTGTCATTATTTTAACTTGACTGCCTTGATACCATTTCACATTTCATATACTTAACACATAATACTGTTAGCACACACATAACATGTATAATGACATTCTGGTCATACCATCATGCAATCATTTCATCATATCTCACATTGTCATACAATTACCACGATACGGTAATCTCATCCAATCATATGATCATTCATTCATTTCTTCATCATTCAATCATGTAACCCTACCAGGTATCGAAATTCAATCACAATTGGTTTAAGTCTTACCAAACCATCATACACATTTTACTCGGACCGCTTCATAACTCGATAACCATAATCATATTAAATTAAACATTAGATTAGAATTTACTTACCGTACAATTTTACATCACCACATCTTTCTTCTCCGTAGATCCTTCCCTTGTTGCCTTCCTTTAGAAAATCGTGTAACAATGTTCAATACACTTGAATTCCTTAACTGGTAAGTGCAACCTACTTACTTTAATAGTTATATATTTAAATGAATTTCATCATTTATTTTTAACTACCCATATATCAAAACCTTCCGTCCACCTAATTTAATTAAAATTGCCAAGATGAACTAATTCTTCACCATTCATCTCGTCCCTTCCTGCCCTTGTAATTATCTTTCACTTACTCTCTTTTATTGGTAGACTTTATCATTAGTTCCCTAAACTCCCACCTAGAAAACGCAAAGGTCAATTCTTTGAAAGACAAGAATACACATGCCAAAACCAGAACATTTCCCCCAAGCATGCCACGTTAATGTTCCCTAGACTCCTAACAATGGCTAAGTGTAACTAATGAAAGGGACTGCAGTATCATAGCTCAAGTGATAAATATCGAATCCACGGGTCTCTAGAGTTACTATTACTCAGCTTCAGTTCATTATGTAGCAAACCAGATTTAGATGGAAGAACTAAAACTACTCTAGCAAACTACAGTTAAAGTTAATCTAATTACATGTTGGGAACTCACTTAGGTATGATTCCCCCTAGATTGCATTTAGGCCAAGTTGCGATTCACCCAATTCAATTCAGCTGACATCTACACTGCGGAAAGTTCTCAAGCAGTCTGGAGTCTCGACTAAAGTGTTCCAGACACTCTCAGTTCGAATACTTGGCGGGCGATTAACCTCCACCGGTGTAATCTAACAGAGGCACTATCACATGAAAATTCCTCAACCGGATTTCATTTCCAGTACATAGCAGTGAATCGACTTCTTGACTAAAGTCGGCGATTCACAACTTCCAATTCAGGATGCTCTTTCAACCTATGCAGAGACTATCATTCTAGGTCAAAGCAAGAATAACAAGAATTTGATCATGACTCAAGCAATTCTGAATAAAAACCTCAACTGAATATAACATGTCAATCAATCATGAATTCGAGTTCATACAACTCTTCCTAGCATACAAATCTAGGGTTCCTCAAAACCTAAGTGAAGGGAAGTTACTCCATAGAGAAGAGAGAGAATGCAGAAATCTGATCTAAATCTTCAATATCCATCTCCGAGCTTGTTTCCCGAGCTCCAATGGTGAAGAAATCCCCCGAATAGCTCCAAGAATGTTCCCAAGGTGCTCTTTCTCTAGGGTTCATCCCCGTGGTGTTTGGGATCCAATCCACAAGCAGATGCTACCAATCATCCGCCGCCTCCCTAGGGGCACACTATGGAGTACTTCTACACTCCACGGATCGCCGACATCTGCCCAGTCATCCAGTATCCGCCCATCCCTGCTAACAACTTTGAGATCAAGCCATTCTGGATCTAGTTGATCACACATTCCATCCAGTTCCATGGTCTCAAGGATGAAGAGGTGAGGGTACACCTTTCTCGATTCTTACAACTGGCCAATGGGTTCAAGCTGAATGGTGTTCTAGATGATGCGATCTGGCTTCACTTGTTTCCTCACTCTCTGGCGGGGGATGCGAATAGGTGGCTAGAGACTCGGTAGATACTGTCCATCACTTCATAGGATGATTTGGCCAGCAAATTCGTGCACAAGTAGTATCCGGCGTCGAATACATTGGAGATTCAGCGGGAGATCACTCATTTCCGCTAGGAAAATGATGAGTCACTTTGAGATGCTTGGGAACGGTATTTTGGACTGTTCTGGAAGTGTCCCCACCACGGTTCCAGTGATGCATTCACTGTGGGGAACTTCTATAATGCCTTATTCCCAGATAGTCAGAGGTTGATCGAGTCTTTGTGCCCAAGTGGAGACATTCTAAGTAAGACTCTATTAGAAACCTTGATCTAGGTGTGCACGATTAGGGTTCACCAATCGAAGAAGAGCTAGTGATCACAAGTAATTAGGGATTTGGGGATTAGAATATAGCAATTGGGAATGAGAGGAAGGGAGTTTGGTGGGGGAAAGAAGGAAGCAGAAGTCTCCCCCTTGGTTGGGGTCGACGGCAACAAAGGGAAGAGGAAGAGAGAGTTGGCCGAGGGAAAGGGGAGAGAGGAAGAGGTAGGGTTTGGGGGAATTATTATTCTGTAATTACTTGCCTCCTAATCTCACGATTACAGAATTTATAGATAATCTGATAATTCCCTATAACTACCCGATATTTCCTTATTACCCTATAATACCAAAATAATCCGAAAATGCCCCGAATATAACATATGAGATCCTCAAATAAATAATAAACCGACAAACAAGTTCAACTCCTAGATTATTAGAACTGGGTTTCTAACAATCCATCCCCCTTAAGACCAATCTTTCCCTCAAGATTGACCTTCGCCCTTCTCGACGTTCGGCTCCTCCAGCGCGCCTTCCGCCGCCAGCTCCTCTGTTCGTCCTCCCAATTGCCCACAAGCAACATCGGATGTCCCTTTGTGCACTGGTGGCCGATCGTGTATCGCTCATCGCAATTGAAGCAGCGACCCTCCCTGCGCTTCTGTTCCATCTCTGCTGGTGTCAGCTTCATGAACCCTCTTGGCAGCAAACGAGCCGGAATTCGCCCTCCGGGTGGAAACCCCGTGCTCACCGGGGTTGTTGCTCCGGGCGTTGTTGCAGCCCCCAGCTCCGGAACTCATAGCCCCGCCAGTCCTTCCTTCGGACCTGCCAGCCATCCGTGTCACACGACCACCACCTCCCTTCCAGCTTGCTAACTCTTCTTCTTTATGACCTGCAAGTCTAATAACAACACGCAAAGAGTCAAGTTCAAAAACTTTGACCGCTGCTGCCAACTCTGGTCGCAGCCCTGCTATGCACAATCCCACCAATGTTTCTTCCCCCATTTCCTTGCACTGGTTACCCAGCTTCAGGAATTCTGACCGGTATTCTGCAACAGTGTCGGTCTGCTTAAGCTTAGCCAACTGCTTGGGGGCCCACCCTTCAGCTTTGCCGAACTGGTTCCTGAGTTCTTCCTGGAATCGGGCCCATGTGATCTCCGTACCTGCTGCAGCATAAGACCGTTCCATCCATTCCCACAACTGTAAC